AGGCCCCACGACCAACAACAACAACAAAAGGTGATGTGAGCGCGCTCCTGGGTCTTGTGTTTCCTCCCACTCTGTTGCCAGTCTCACAATCTGTTGCCAGTGTGGCTCTGTACAGTCTCCCTTGCTTGGCCACAGGGCAGTTTGTATTGGGCAGGAATCTGGGGCCCTCGGCTGGAGCAGAATTGCTGCCTGCGGTTGGTAGCTGTGCTGAGCTGACCTTTTACCTGGCAAACACCTCCCTTCCACCTGTCTCTCCTTCCGCAGGTGCTTAGCAAACACATGCCTTCTAGTGGCCTTTGGTGTTTGAGAACGCCACCTCTGGGAAGTCCTCAGGTTATAGGCGTCGCCTATGTCACCATGCCCGGTGCCCAGCCCAGCCCAGCCTGGCCCATCGCTGTTGGGGAGAGATCCGATTCCTCCTGCCCTGGGAGCCCCTGGGGACAGAGACAGGGTTTATCTTGGATTCTGTCCCAAGCATCGCCTAGCAGGGACCTGGTGAGGCGTCACCCTGGGTTTTCTGTAGAGATGGATCTGGGCCCAGTGCCCAAAGCTCAGCCCTTCCCCAAGTGCCTGGACCCTGATAGATGGCTTTGCCTGGCCTGGACCCAGTGGCAGAGCCAGCTGACCTGGCCCTGCCTGCACAGCATGAAGACAGTGGCTGGCGCCCGGCTGCATGCCCTCGGCCGTGGGCAACGCTGACTTGGGCTGCAGCCTGGGACCGTGAGGCCTCACGGCCTCTGGGAGCAACAGAGCTGGTGTGAGCGATCTGGAGTTTTGTTTGGCCTTTTGACCTGGCCTCCAGCTCGTAGTCTTCCTCCCTCTGCCTCCCTAGCGCTGGGGCTAGAGCATCATTGCACGGAGGCTGTGGTGGGCTGGCAGATCATCAGCAGATGCACCTACTGTGTGCACCGGGGTTTTGCACTGGGGTTTATCACGTCCACATGCCACTGGGTCATCCTCCTGAGACAGTAGACGCCAGGCCCTGCTATTGCAGCCCCTCCTTTCTCCCAGCAGAGAGGGACCCCAGCCTTGGATAAATATTTGTCTAAGGGCGGGGGGGGGGCCGAGGGGGAGGTGCAAGAGCCCATCGCCTGGCAGAGGTCCTCCTGTGGGAACAGCTGCTGAGCCTGGTTTTGTTTGCTCTGCTCATCCAGGACCCTGTGGCACCTTGTCACCTGGGTGTCAGGTCCTGACAGCGCTGCCTGTTGACAAAGCAGCAGCTTGTTGTGTGTCTGGGTGATGTCACCGGCCGCTGTAGAAGTCTCTGTATGTCACCAGCTCCACTTTCCAGGCCAGTAGCACTGAGAGCCAGTGCCGCCGGCGACAGCAGTGGCAGCGGCGCGGGCTCCCAACTTGCCCAGATCAGAATCCACTTGAGGTCCTGTGGACAGGGTCCTGATGGTGTGCTCCTCCCCTCCCCAGGAGGGCCAGTAGGGAGAAGCTGTTGTCACCCAGAAAGTCAGGGCGATAGGCTTCCAGAGCAAGGCCTCCGTGGGGACAGATGGCACAAGGCGGGTCCGTGGCAGAGCCTGGCCGGCCAATGTGTGAACCCAGGAATGGCAGTGGAGGGGGCCTCACTGCATGGGGTGGCCGTCTGGGTGTCCCCCTGCCTGTCCAGGCCTTGGGGTACCCGCCTTGCGACACACCTGTGGCTGAACCCCAGGCCCCTCCCTGGTGGGTCTGAGGCTCTGTAAAAGCCATTGCTTGCCAACGACATTGACATCGAGTCACATTGACTTGCGCTCAGTGGCCCGGCCGTTCTAGGGAAGCTTCAGGAAATGCATGCAGCAGGGAGCGTCTGTCAGAGTGTGCCATCGACTCCCGTGGCCAGGCCAGGTGTCAGAGGGCACCTGGCTGGCCAGTCGCCACAAGTTAGCTTTGGAGTCCCAATGAGGAGGCCAGCCCTGAAGGTTTGATGGCCCAGTAGAGATGGAGGCTGGTCTCCGGAGAGTGCGGTCGCTCGGGACTGCCACCTCGTCTTTGCCTTGGACTAGGGGGTCCCAGTCGTGGGGTGGGACATCTCTGTAGCAGCCTGGACACATGTGCGTGCCATGTGTGGGTGTCCTGAGTAGGGAGCCCCCCCCAACAGCTGGACCTCAGGGTTCCCTCCTTGCCTGCCTACAGGGTGACTTCTGGCAGCGACTCCCCCCCCACACACACACCCCATACTGGCCTCTCCCCACCGGCTCCCAGCTGGTGAGGCTGCCTGAGTCACCACCGCCCCCTGGTGCCCATCCTGGCTTTACACCTGTGCGCATGCGTGAGCCACAGCTCCCCCACTGATGCCAGCCTGGGGGTTTCTCCCTGTCCCTTTGTGAGAGTCAGACTCTGTCTGACAGTTGCCCGTCCCACTCCGGGGGCCTGGCCGGAGGGAAAGCCAAAGCAGCACCAGTGTTAATCTCAGAGCCCAGGCCTCCCTCTGCCTCTCTCAGCTCAGGGTCCCCTGCAGCCCCTGCACCTGGGGACAGTGAAGCCAGGCCCTGGGTTCTGAGCAGGCCAGGCCTGCCCCTTCTTGGCCCAGTGGCCTGGGTGATGTCTTGCTTTCTGGCTTGCTTTCCTTTATGAAATGGAGATGGAATTGCGCCAGGCTCGTGGATTACAGGGCTGGCTGAATGAACTCGTTCGAGGAAAGCACTCTGTGTCCTGCCTTACACTGCGCCTGGGCCTGGGCCTGGGGCCTTGCAGAGTGCGCCCCACTGTCATCAGCTTCCGCCTTTTTTTTTTTTTTTTTTTGTCGGTCGCGGGGCTTGAACTCTGAGCCTGGGCGCTGTCCCTGCGCTCTTCAGCTCAAGGCGAGCACTCTACTGTTTGAGCCACAGCGCCGCTTCTGGTTTTCTAGTGATTTATGGGAGATAAGAGTCTCATGGATATTTCCGCCCAGGCTGGCTTTGAACCTCGATCCTCAGATCTCAGCCTCCTGAGTAGCTAGGATTACAGATGTGAGCCACCGGCGCCCAGCTTCCGTTTTCTTACTCTGCCGTCTTCTGCTGACTGAGCACCAGCACTGGGCCAGCTACTTCTTGGGTCTCCTTGTGTCCTATCACCTGAGACTATAGATGTCGCTTTCAGAGAGGGAAGAGCAATCACTATGACAATCATTGTCATAGCTGTAGCAGGACAGGGAATGGGAATGTGGGTCTTACTTAAAGCTTACTGTAGTTTTTGTTGTTGTTGTTGTTGGTCATGGGGCCTGAACTCTGGGCCTGGGCGCTGTCCCTCAGCTCTTCATTCAGCTCAAGGCTAGCGCTCTACCACTTGAGCCACATCACCACTTCCAGCTTTTTCTGCTTATGTGGTGCTGAGGAATCAAACCAAGGCCGCATGTATGCAAGGCGAGCACTCAACCACTGAGCCACCTTCCCAGTCTTTTTTTTTTTGTCAGTCATGTGGCTTGAACTCTGGGCCTGGTCGCTGTCCCTGAGCTCTTCAGCTTAAGGCAAGCTCTCTACCACTTGAGCCACAGTGCCACTTCCGGTTCTCTGGTAGTTAATTGGAGATAAGAGTCTCACAGATATTCCTGCAGGGGCTGGCTTTGAACTATGATCCTCAGATCTCAGCCTCGTGAGTAGCTAGAATTACAGGCATGAGCCACCAAAGCCCAGCCTAAAGCTTACTTTTGAAGACACAGAAGCCAGGAGTCGGCTGATCATGCCTGTAGTCCTAGCTACTCAGGAGGCTGAGATCTGAAGATTGTGGTTTGAAGCCAGCAGGACAGACAAATCTTAAGACATTCTATCTCCAAACACCCAGAAAAAATCTGGAACTTGGGCTGGGAAGGTGGCTCAGTGATGGAGCGCTTGCCTTGCATGCATGGAGCCCTGGGTTCTATTCCTCAGTACCACATAAGCAGAAAAAGCTGGAAGTGGCGCTGTGGCTGGCCTTGAGCTGAAGAGCTGAGAAACAGTGCCCAGGCCCAGAGTTCAGGCCCCACGACTGGTCAAAAAAAAAAAAAAATCTGGAATTTGGAAGTGTGGCTCAAGTTGTAGAGCACCAGCCTTGAGCAAACAAGCCAAGCAAAGAGCTTGAGCCACTAGAATTCAAGCCCCAATACGGACACGTGCGTGTGCACACTCTCTCTCTCTCTCTCTCTCTCTCTCTCTCTCCCTTTTAGACTTGGAGCTGGTATTTGGTTTCCCAAAGGCCTCACGAATTAACTGTGACCATTCTCGTCAGTGCCTGGGAGCATTCACATCTTCAAGGGTGCAAACCAATTCTCCTTTCCTTCCTGGGGTGCTGTGGTTGGGTCTTGCTTGTGCTAGACAAGCACTCCACCCCAAGCCATATCCCCAGCCCCGTGTCAGTGGAGATGTCTCTCAGTCTGATTTAATTTTGTTTGTTTTCTTTTTTTTTTGGTTGTTCCCAGAACCTCACACTTGAAAAAAAACTAAACCCTCAAGCATTTTTGTTTCTTGTTTTGTCAGTTGTGGAACTTGAACTCAGGACCTTGAGGCTGTCACTGAGCCTGTTTATGCCCAAACCCAACGTTCTACCACTTGAGCCACAGTGCGCCCTTCTGTTTTTGAGTGGTTAATTGGAGATAAGCGTCTCATGGGGACTTAACTTCCAGGGCTGGCTTTGAACTTCGATCCTCAGATCTCAGCCTCCTCAATAGCTAAGATTACAGGTGTGAGCCTCCGATAACCAGCAGAAACCAGAATCTATGGGAGCGCACGGCAGACTCTATCTGAGCTATAGAGAGAGACAGAGGAAAAATAAATCCCCCCTGGGTGCCCGTGGCTCATGCCTGTTGTTATAACATCGCTGGAGGATTTGCTAAGTAGTTATTTTCTTTCTTCCTTATCTGGTCTATGTTAATTAGAAGGAAATGCTAGGTTTCACATTAGGGAACTAAAGAGCTCATTTTTTCCCCCTCACTTGGATGAAACTGGTTGATTAAGACCAGGGCATGGCGTGGTGCCTGCCGAGCGAGAACAAGGCTCTGGACTGAACCCCAGGTATTGCGGGAAAAACCCTCACAGCCTCTTTTCCTCTGCCCACAGCCCAGAACGTGACCGTGGATGAGGTGATCAGCGCCTACAGACAGGCGTGCCAGAAACTGAACTGCCGGCAGATCCCCACGCTCCTCCGGCAGCTGCAGGTAAGGGGTCGGGGAGGGAAGGCCTGTGTTCCGCCACTTTAGGCTCATGCCAGTAATCCTGGCTGCTTAGGAAACTGAGATCTGAGGATCATGGATTGAAGCCAACCCAGGTAGGAAAGTCCTTGCAACTTTATCTCCAATGATCCACAAAAAGGCCAGAAGTAGGGCTCTGGCTCAAGTGGTAGAGTGATAATCTTAAGCAAAAGGAACTTTCGAACAGTGCCTGTGCCCTGAGTTCAAGCCCCGTGACTGGCAAAAGAGAAAAGAAACTGTTCTGCAGTAGAAAGCCATGCATACAATTCCCATAAGTCTGGGGATCTAGGCTGAAGGCATGAGACCCTTTCGAGAAGATAAAGCAAAAAGGTGGCCTGGGAAATGTGGCTTAGTGGCAGAGTGCTTGCCTAGCATGCATGAAGCCCTGGGTTCGATTCTTCAGTACCACATACACAGAAAAAGCCAGAAGTGGCACTGTGGTTCAAGTGGTAGAGTGCTAGCCTTGAGCAAAAGAAGCTCAGGGACAGTGCTCAAGCCCTGAGTTCAAACCCCAGGATTGAAAAGGCTCAAGTGGTAGAGCCACCTGCCTGGCAAGCATAAGTCCCTGAATTCAAACCTCAGTACAAGAAGAAGAAGGAGAAGAGGAGGAAGAGGAAGAAGTTGTTGTTTATTGAAGTTGTTAAAATATAGACGAGAAAGCAAATCTAAGCCGGGTGCCAGTGGCTCACGCCTGTAATCCTAGCTACTTAGGAGGCTGAAATCTAAGGATGGTGGTTCAAAGACAGCCTGGGCAGAAAAGTCCATGAGACTCTTATCTCCAGTGAACCACCAGAAAACCCAAAGTGGTGCTGTGGCTCAAGTGGTAGAGCGCTCGCCTTGAGCTGAGGAGCTGAGGGACAGCGCCCAGGCCCAGAGTTCAAGTCCCACAGCCAACAAAAAAAATAAATAATCTACTTTAAATTTCAGAGTGCCCCTATGGAGATGAGTCCCCTCCCTAGGAGGGGAGGGCAGCTGTAGGGGGGAGGTTACCAGTTCCAAGGGCTGTTCAGTGTTTACTCAGCACCCTCCTGTAGCCAGCTAGCTGTGCTGCCCTCTCTGCCTCCCTCTCTGCCCGGAGGCTTGGGGTTCCATATAACGCCAGAAGGGGGCGCTCCATGCAGGGCTGAGCCAGGACAGAGTGCACACCGGGCCCTGCCTCACCTCAGCCCCTCACGCGGGCTGTGCCCTTGGCCTAGCTGTCCCCCAGTAGCCTGTGCCCTCACTTGGTCTAGCAGGCCTGCCTGGCTCCCCGTGGGCCCATCCTGGGTTCGGAGCACCGCCATCCCGCTGTTGGGTAGCCTGGCATCCGGGGTGTCTTTCTGCCCTGAGCACAGACCGCCCCTACTTTTCTAGGAGTTCACGGACCTCGAGCACCGCATTGACTGCCTGGACCTGAAAGGTGGGATGAGCACAGAGACACGGGAGCCCAGGCAGGGCTGGGGCCTGCGCGGGCTGAGGGCAGGGTAGGGGCAATGCCCACCGGGGAGCTCCCCCATCCCCAGCGCTCGCAGGCCATCTTGGACACGTCCGCCGTCCCTGCCTCCTCCTCTCAGGGGAGAAGCTGGACTACAAGGCCTGCGAGGCCCTGGAGGAGGTCTTCAAGCGGCTGCAGTTCAAGATGGTGGACCTGGAGCAGACCAGCCTGGATGAAGATGTGAGCACAAAGGAGGGAGGGCGACCTAGACGGGTGGGGGTGGGGCCACCAGAAGTCATGTGGAAGCCCCCCGCCCGCCCCCGGCTCCCCCCCATAGGCCCAGGTGCCTGTCCTCATCTGCCTAGAGCCCCAGGCACCCATTGTCAAGAGATGTGAGAGGGCGCTGGGAAGGTGGCTCAGTGGTAGAGCGCTTGCCTTGCATGCATGAGGCCCTGGGTTCCATTCCTCAGCACCACATAAGCAAGAAGAAAAAAGCCGGAAGTGCTGCTGTGGCTCAAGTGGTAGAGTGCTAGCCTTGAGCTGAGGAGCTGAGGGACAGCACCCAGGCCCAGAGTTCAGACCCCACGACCAGACCCCCCCCCAAAAAAAAAAAAGAGATGTGAGAGGCCCCAGGAGGGGCATGGCGGCGGGCGGAGCCCAGGCTGCCCTGGTCACCTGGCATACCAGCTGGGACCAAGGCCAGGGCACCGGCTGGCCCAGCCACCTGGGCAGAGGCTGAACTGCCGTCTCTGTCCCCAGGGTGCCTCGGCCCTCTTCGACATGATCGAGTATTATGAGTCCGCCACACACCTCAACATCTCCTTCAACAAGCACATTGGCACCCGGGGCTGGCAGGCTGCCGCCCACATGATGCGCAAGGTGCGGCCCTCCTGCGCCCCCTGTCCCTGAGAGGTGGCCATGCTGCTGCCTGTGGCCAGAGAGGGCTGGAGCCAAGCCTGACACCCCCCCTCCCCCCGTTCCCTGTCCCCGTCAGACAAGCTGCCTGCAGTACCTGGACGCTCGCAGCACGCCCCTGCTGGACCACTCAGCGCCCTTCGTGGCGCGGGCCCTGCGCATCCGCAGCAGCCTGGCGGTGCTGCACCTGGAAAACGCCAGCCTGTCGGGGCGGCCCCTCGTGCTGCTTGGTGAGCCCCGCCTCCCACCCCAGCACCCCTGGGTCTTTGTGAGCCGGCCGCTGGGCTGCCAGCCACACACCCACCCACCCCATCCTGCAGCCACAGCCCTGAAGATGAACCTGAACCTGCGGGAGCTCTACCTGGCTGACAACAAGCTGAATGGCCTGCAGGACTCGGCCCACCTGGGCAACCTGCTCAAGTTCAACTGCTCCCTGCAGACCCTGGACCTGCGCAACAACCACGTGCTCGACTCAGGTGAGCCCAGCCTTGCGGAGCGGCGCTGGGCACCCAGGTGTGCACCCCCCCCCCTCCAGGCTTCATACTGCCCTCCAGGGCTTGAAGTGAGTCCCAGATTGGGGCCTGAGCGAGTCAAGGGTGCCCTGGCTGGGCTCAGGTCACGGGGTTCCCTGGAGTGGAAAGGAGTTGTTGGATGAAAAGTTGTAGCAATTCTGCTCTGCAAAGCCTGACAGGAAGGCGTTTTCAGAGCAAGGGTGTGCTGTGAAGATGGGCGGGGCCGCAGGGCCTGCGCAGGAAAGGAGGCATTGCGGGGAGCAGGGGCAAAGGCCCTGGGTGGAAACGAGCTCAGACACTCCATGCAGGGAGAAGGTCAGCGAGCAGGGGGGGAGAGGGGGAGAGTTCTGGTTCCTCCCTGCCTCTCTGTTGAGCAGAATCCCTAGCTACTGTAAGGGCTGCGGGGCAGAGAGGGCACTGCTTTAGTACCCACCTTGGGGCTCAGCCTGGAGGGAGCAGTGAGAGAAAGGCCATCTGCCAGAGGGTGAGACACGTGGCAGCCATCTTTGGGGCCCAGGGTCACGAGCAGTTCAAGCCCAGGGTTTGGGGGGCTGTCCAGGCCAGAGACAGTAGGCTGGGCAGGCCAGGGACGGCGAGAAGAAAGAAATGTCCCCTGGGGACGGACATCCCAGAGCCACAGGCTGGGCCCTGACCTCCCTTAGGTCTGGCCTACATCTGCGAGGGTCTCAAGGAGCAGAGGAAAGGGCTGGCAACCCTGGTGCTGTGGAACAACCAGCTCACGCACACGGGCATGGCCTTCCTGGGCATGGCGCTGGTGAGTCCTTGAGCCCGCCCGGCTCCGTGTCATTTCTTTCATTGCCATTGTGGGCCAGACGGCGGCACGGCCCTGTGCACGTTTGCCTAAAGATGGTGATGGCGAGGGCTTGGTCCTCCCGTTGCGTAGCGCGGAAAGCAAGGCGAGCAGCTGCGGGGCTGGCAGGACAGGACCCGGCCGAGTGCCTGGCACAGGCTGGCCCGCGGGCGGGGCGCCCACACACGCGGCGGGGAGCGGCCCTGTCCACTTCTGCACCGGCCTCTTTGCTGATGCATCTTTGGTGGGGGGGGGCCCTGCCTACCCCCCCATGGGCTTTGCCCTTCCAGCCACACACACAGAGTCTGGAGACGCTGAACCTGGGCCACAACCCCATCGGGAACGAGGGCGTGCGCAACCTCAAGAACGGGCTCATCGGCAACCGCAGCGTGGTGCGCCTGGGCCTGGCCTCCACCAAGCTCACCTGCGAGGGTAGGGTGTGAGCCGGGGGCGGCGGGGTGGGGGCGGCCAGCCAGCCTGGGGCCCCATGGCCAGCCCTTCGGTCCCCCTCCCAGGCGCGGTGGCGGTGGCCGAGTTCATCGCTGAGTGCCCCCGCCTCCTGAGACTGGACCTGCGGGAGAACGAGATCAAGACGGGCGGGCTCATGGCACTGTCGTTGGCCCTCAAGGTGAACCACTCGCTGCTGCGCCTGGACCTCGACCGGGAGCCCAAGAAGGAGGCGGTGAGCGGGGTTCTGCCCGGTCCAGGCCCCAGGGTGGGGAGGGTGGCCCCCGAGGCCTAGCGCCTTAGCCAGGCCATGCCACCCGCAGGTCAAGAGCTTCATCGAGACGCAGAAGGCCCTGCTCACTGAGATCCAGAACGGCTGCAAGCGCAACTTCGTGCTGGCGCGGGAGCGGGAGGAGAAGGAGCAGCAGCTGCAGCTGTCTGCATCTATGCCCGAGATCACCATCACCCAGCCCCAGCCCCTCGAGGAGTCCAGGGACCCCGCCGCCACCACCACAGGGGCACATAACGGGGCCACGAGCCCCAGGTCCCTACCCGACTCAGACTCGGACTCAGACTCAGAGGCAGAGGAGGAAGAGGAGGATGGCGAGGAGGAGGAAGACGACAGGCAGAGGGAAGAGGCCCGCTGTGACCAGAGCCCTTCAGCCCCCTGCCCTGCCCTGGTTCCCCCCACGGACTCCCTGAGCCCCCAGGAGCCGAAGTCCCCAGGCAGCCCCTCCTCGCCCACGGAACAGCGGATTTCCGTGTCCAGCCCGGGCCGCGGCCACAAAGTGTTTGTGGTGACCCGGGTAGAGAGTCCACCAGAGAGGGCAGAGCCCCCGGTGCCCCCCGCCTGTGCCTCCCTGCCTCCCCCCTCTCCTCCCTCCCCCCCTGTCCTGCCACCAGTGCAGCCCATCGGCACACAGGACTCAGGGGTACCCGAGCCCCAGCCGGAGGCGCCCCCGTCAGGACCGGCGCTGCCCAACGGCCTGAAGCCCGAGTTTGCCCTGGCGCTGCCCCCAGAGCCACCTCCGGGGTCAGAGGCCAAGGGGGGCAGCTGCGGCCTGGAGCACGGTGAGGCGCTTGGGGACCCAGGCCGGCACTGCTGGGGACGAGAGGGGTGCCCCCCAGAGCTGTCCCCAGGGTGGGGGGCCGGCGCCCGCGTGGGCCGGTCCCTCACTGTGGGCGCCGCCCGCACAGAGCTGCGCTGCGCCCAGGACGAGCGGGAGCGGGAGGAGCTGCTGCGGGACGCCAGCCAGGAGGCGGCTCAGCACACACTGTGACACTCGAGGTGGGTGCAGCCCCCCGGGGGCGGGGCGGGCGCAGGAGCCCCCTGCTCTGACGCCCCCTCTTCATCTCTGTCCCCCAGTTCCTCTTTTTTTTTTTCCGGTCAGTCTTGGACAAGCTGAGGCCAGAGCCATGAGAACCCGCTCACCCCCCCTCCCAGCCCCCCCACACTCCCGGGGGACCAGGGCAGGGCCCACAAGAGCTGCGGGAATGGGCAGCTCCCACGGACTCCGCCCTTGTGCTTACATGTGTCTGTGCTGACACGGACTCGGGGCTCTGGGGGGAACTATGCGGGGGGGCTCCATGGACACAGGCCGCCCTGGTTCCAGAGCGCCCGCCGCACAAGGCCCGCCCTGCGCAGCGGCGGCAGCTGGAAGTGGGCGGGCAGGGCCACCGAGGGCTGGAGCTTTCCTTTTCTTACGTGCAATAAAATCTATCAGGGAGCCGGGGCTGGCAGCCATGGGGTTCTGAGGCTGCGCCCTGGAAAGCACTACAGTGGGGTTGGGGGGGCAGCGGGGTGCAGGCGGGGGCGGGCAGGGCCAAGGCTGTGGGGGGGGGTTACTCCTGTCCGTGCTGCTCTGTCCACACCTTTTCTAATAAACCGGGGCTGGGTTCACCACTTGCCCCTCTGCTTTCTGCTCACCCCGGTGCTCCTGCTGGGGGCTAGGCAGAGTTCCTGGCCCCTGCGTGACCCCAGCCATGGCTCCCCACCCTTCCACCCCCCTGCCTACCTCCATTATGGGGATCTAGCATGGCCCCACCCATTGGTCTCCCAGGCCCAAAGCCCCAGAAGCCCACAGGCCACTGCTCCATCACAAGTGCCTTGCAATGGCTCAGCACTGCTGGGAAATATCCCCCACCCCACCCCGTAGAACTTGGGATCACTGGTAAGGAAAGGCCATGACCCCCACTGCTGCTGTCCTGTGTGGCCTGCTGTGGGACAGAGGTGTCCTCAGTCTCTGCGCTGACCTCCCCTGTGTGTCGGTGACAGCGCCCTTCCCACTGAACACACCGCAGGCCTGTGTGCAGGGCACAGGTAGCCACTACGAGCCATGTCACCTGTGCCCTGCCTTACCCCTCAAACCCGACTCCAGCACCGCTGTGAGCCCTGGCTCCCCCCCACCCCTCGCTGCTGTGGCCATCCATGTCGGGGGGCTGGGAAGAGCCCCCGTCCAGGCCGCCCTGGTTCCAACCTCTTCTAGATGAAGTCCACCCTTGGTGCCCAACTAGGGAGAACCCCAATGTGAGGCCATCCAGTGTTGGTTAGGGAGCATAGTACAGTGGTGTGTGTGTGCCTGTCATTCAGCCGAGCTGGAGGCCCTAAATAGGAGGGTCATGGTCTGAAGCTGTCCTGGGCACAGTGCAAGCCCCTGAGAAGCCTGACAGTGCCGAGGGCATGGCTCAATGGAAGGGGCCTGTCCAGCGAGCTCCAGGCCTTGACTTCAAGCCCCGGTAGCTCCAAAACAGTGAGGAACTTTGGGCTGGGGGCCTAGGACAAGGTAGAGCAGGCCTGGGCCCTGGGTTCCATCCCTAATCACACAAAAGACAACCCAAGCCCAGGGCCAGTGACTTAGGCCTGTAATCCTAGCTACTGTGGAGGCTGAGATCTGAGGATTGCAGTTTAAAACCAGCCCAGGCAGGAAAGTCCATTAGACTCTTATCTCTGATTACCCACCAGAAAACCAGAAGCGGAGCTGTGTGGCTCAAAATAGTAGAGCTGAGGCTGGGAAGGTGACCGCTCAGTGGTAGAGCGCTTGCCCTGCATGCCTGAGGCCCTGGGTTCAATTCCTCAGCACTACATAAGCAAAAAGAAAAAAGCCGGAAGTGGCGCTGTGGCTCAAGTGGTAGAGCGTTAGCCTTGAGCTGAAGAGCTGAGGGACAGCACCCAGGCCCTGAGTTCAAGCCCCTCAACCGGACCCCCCCTCCCAAAAAAAATAGTAGAGCTCTAGCCTTGAGCAAAAGAGCTCAGGGATGAAGCCCAGACCCTGAGTTCAAGCCCCGTGACCTACAAAACCTAGGTGTTCACTTGTAGTCCCCATGCCAGAAGGCTTGAGTGCAGGGCCGGCCTGGCCAACCCGGAGAAGACTCAGGAAAAGGAGGGGCCTGGACACAAAACTGGCCTGTGAAGGCAGGACTGGGGCCTTGTCCACAAGACTGGGAAGGTCAAGGTCACCAGCTGGGAGCCAGAAGCCTGGAGGAGCAGGAAGAGTGCCCCCCCCTTTACCTTGAACTTGGAGCCTGCAGCCCTGCCAAGCAATAAACGTCTGCAGTTCTAAATCATCTTGTCTGTGGGACTTGGTTGTGACATCTGGGGGGAAGAGCTAGCTGTTCTCTGGGGGTTCTGAGTTGGGGACTGGAGGCAGAGGGAACCCCTTGGCTTCCCCGTAGCTAGTTCTAGAAGAGCTGGAGGTGTGTACAGGGCCATGTGTGTCCGGGTGGCAGAGTCACCCACCCCTACATACAGGTATCTGAAGCCCTGCATTGGTTTTACCAGGTACCTAACACCCCACGCCACCACAGGCCAGCAAAGCTGCAGCTTTTGACAGCTCCCACCTGACCCCTGGGCACTGGGACCCGCTTGTCCAGCCCCCACTGGACTAGGGGAGGGGACGGGAGACGCTGACCTGATGGGGGCACATGGCCCCCAGCACCTCACAGCTCCTTGAAGGTCACCGGGACTGACCTGTGTCCATCTGTCTGGCAGCCGCTAGCCTGGGAGCTGAGTCACGTGAGCTCAGTTTTCCAGCCCTGGGCCACGTGACCTGAAAATGCCCTCAACTTGCTGGGGGGGGTCCCCTCTGGGACTCTCAGTCCTCAGGGTGCTGGCTCAGTGACACCCTCCTGTTCCTGGCTATCTCCTGTGCACTCCACAGAGAACAGCCCACCTGGGTATGAGCCTCCCTGCCCCATGTGTCCCATTCCTATGCCTCAACTTCCCCAAAATCTGGATTGGGGGGTTGGGGGCAGGGGCTTGAGCAAGTGATGGGCCCGCAGACAATAACTGCTCCTGGGAGGTGGCGCCACCCACCCATGCTGGCTGAGACCTCAGTAACCCCCATGGTGAGGCAAGGCGGTCTCCCAGGCCCCCTGGGGCAGCCCTTTGGGAAATGCCAGCTCCTGCCCATGGAGGCCAGGCCAGGGTGTGGGGGCGAGGGCTGGGATCGCTTGAGGCCTGGGTGCTCCCTCTGCCTGAGTCAACCTGGCCGTCCGCCTTCATCGCCTCTGCCCCCACAGCCCCGCCCATTGCCTCCTCAACCCTCTTGCCACCCAGGATGTCAGCTTGGGTAGCTCAGAGGCCTGGCAAAACTGGGGAGGAAGTGAGCTGGGGCAGGGTGAGGCGGGCCTGGTTCCGGGCCTCCTGGAGCCAGGAAATCCAGGCCATGGAGACCAACCCAGCTTTCCACATCTTTTATTATTGCACTCGAACTCCATGTCCTCCACTGGCCCTTCCCTCGGCGCTCAGTGACACAGGTCCACTTCTGGAGGCCACAGCCTGTCTCTCCCACTGGGGCTCTCAGAGCCATCCAGGGTTTTTTGTTCCCCATTGGCTTCTTCCTTTTGGGGCTTGGGGCCAGTCCCACCCCTGCCTCTGTCATCCAGGCGGGAGGCCCCCATTCCAGGACCCCTGGGGGTTTGGGAACTCAAACTACTGGCCTCAACTTGGCCCCAGAGGCCCAGTCCCGAGCTTGGACTGCATTGGCTTGCCTTGATATCCGGCCGGCTGGGGCTGCCCCTGACTCGTTGGCTCTGTTGGCTGCATGGGAGGCATCCGGGGTGGCGGGGGACCTGGGCGGGCTGGGGGGCTTGAGGGCACTGACCGCCCGGATGAGCCCCATGCGACGGCGGATGGAGTGGTCCAGGTTGACCGTGCATCGGAGCAGGCTCTGCGCTTCGGCCACGGTGAAGGGGAAATCGCCCCCCAGGAAACGCTCGAAGAGCTCAGGGTCCCCGTCCAGGTCCAGCACGTTCTGCAGAGCCTTGGTCATGGTGTGCAGCTCGCGACTGTTGTCGCAGAACACGTCCCAGAGGCGTGCGCGGCCATCAGGCGCGCCCCCGGCCTGCTGCCGGTCCTCCAGACACTGCAACACCCAGCTGAGGCGACAAGGCCACTGGTTGGCGAGCACCACCCAGGCCACGGCCTGGCGCGGCGTGGGCCCCAGGCACTCGGCCTGCTGCTGCTGCTGCTGCAGCAGGCGCACGGTGATGGGCACCGTGTTGACGATGCGCCGCATGGACACCACGTTGTCCGGCACGTACTCGTAGAGACAGTCGCGCTCGTCGTGCAGGCAGAGCAGCGCCTCGTGGATGCGGCGCGCCGCCTCCTCGTCGATGTGGCCCTGCGAGCGCGCGCCCTCGACCGTCTGCGTCTCCACCGCCAGCAGCTGCACCACCTCGCCGCCCGCGCCTGCGCCCTCGCCCACCGGCAGCCGCAGCTTGCGCGTAATCTCACGATACAACAGGTCGTCGCGACTCTGCACGGCGTCGTGCAGGAACTGCAGCTTGGTGCGGCGCCCCATGATGGGCACGGAGAAGGGCAGCGTGACCGTGCGGTTGAGGAAGAGGTAGCCGTTATCCGCCGTGCCTTTCATGTTCCCCGCGCTCTCCAGGCAGGCGGCCAGGATGCTGGGATCCACCACCAGGATGAAGATGAAGGGCGCGTGGCTGTCGGAGAGCAGCGTGTTGATGGCGTTGAGCACGCCCACCACGCGCTCCGGGTAGCACGTATCCAGCCCGGTGACCTCGAGCACCACGCGCAGCCGGCGCCGCTGGTAGATCTCCAGGAAGCACAGGAAGTCCGTCAGCAGCTCCACCTCCTTCTTCACCTCGCACATGAAGCCCAGCTGGCTGCCGAACTTCTCGCGAGACACCAGCCGCTCGATCTTCTTGCGCTGGCTCACGAACAGGTGCTTGCCCACCGAGTACACGGCCATGAGCAGCCCCGAGCCCGACAGCGTGGTGGCCGCGCCGCCGAACACCTTGAGCAGGTGGCCGCCGGCCACCGCGCCGTGGCCCCCCGCGTGGCTGCTGCCCAGGGACAGGTAGAGCAGCCCCACGCCCAGGCCCAGCGCCGCCACCAGCGCCACCAGCGCCAGGCACACGCGAACCCGGCAGTGCCACTCGCGCTGGCAGAAGCTCGTCGCCGTCGTGGTGGGTTTGTTCCCCAGCACCGAGTACACGCTGAAGGGCAGCGCGCCGTAGTGGTGGCGGATGCCCTCGCACAGCGTGGTCACCAGCCCGGCCCACAGCTTGTCAGTGCCCGCGTACTGCCAGGCGCTGAAGCGGATGAAGAGGAACTGCACGTTCTTGCGTCGCAGGTGCACTTCGGTGATGATGGGCTGCAGGAACACCAGGTACCACAGCAGCTGCGGGACGCCCCAGCCCCGAACCCGCCGCGGTCGCCACTGCACTCGCTGCAGCTCCTCGGTTTCGCGCTGAGCGGCCTCCTGCTGCATCAGCACTGCGGGGGAGGAGAGGGAGGAGCTTAGGGCGGGGGAAGTCCTGTGAATGGCGGATGCGCTGGAGGCGTGGCCAGAGGAGGGGCGTGGCTGGCAGGGCGGTACTGGGGAAAGGTATTGTTGGACTGGAGAGGGGGCGTGGCTGGAGAAGGAGTGGAACTCAAATGGGTGATTTACAGGAGGGGCGTGGTTTATCTGAAAAGTGCTGTCGGAGGCGTGGCTTGGTGGCCAGGGGCGTGGTTATAAAGGGATGTGGCGCTTCTGAAGAGACTGGTTAAGCAAAGCAGAGACCAGGACCTGAAAGCGAAGCCGACTTAGCCCACCTTAAAGAGCTGAGAGCGGGTGCAAGTGGGGTGTGGGAAGTCTGGTGCCCTCTTTGCACGTGCAGTGTTAGAAGGCAAAGCCAGAGAGTAAGGGCAGAAGCAGAGCAGATGGGAGGAGGCAAGAGGACCAGGAGAAAGAGCTAGGACTGGTGTCCCTCTCCCGTGGGTGGGAGGCTGTAAGTTCTGTGTGTGTGGGGGGGTGTTCTGTGGGGCCACAAGGAATGAATGAATGAATGAGGCAGCTGAGACACAGCCTGGGGCTGTTTTCCTGGCTCTGCCCTCTTCTGCTGCTGATTGCCTGGGTTCTTCCCACTTTGTGTCATCAGTGTCCGAGACAAATCTGACTCTCCTCCTGGACCGTGAGCCAAGGACAGGAAGGGCCATCTAATCTTGGTCACCACTGAGTCCTCTGCACCAAGAAGATGCTGGAAATGTCTAAAAGTTGGATCAAAGGCTGGAGGCATGGCTTAAGTGGTAGAACATCATCCTAAGAACAAAACTACCAGGTGCTGAGTTCAAGTTCTGCTTTAAAAGAAAAACCCTTTAAAGTTGGATCATAAAACGTCCAGGACTGGATCTTTGAGGCCAGTGAGTAAAAGAGCAGGACGGTCACCTCCCATGTCACTAAGCCCAGGGTGGGACTTTTCAGACCCTTCCTTTTTCCAGACCCCCATGTGTCCCTGTGACCATCCAGGTGCAGAGCTGTGCCAGTAGAGGCATGAAAGCTTTCTCGACAGGGTGCTGGGGATCATGGGATTGTGGAATGCTAACAGAGGAGGGACAGGACAGTCATTATTTTAGGAAGATCCCTTGAAGTGGACGCAGCAAGGATGGAGGCCACAAGGAAAGGATGGGACTCTGAGGCATCCAGGAAGCCAGGATGTTGAGCAAGCCAGGGGACCAGGTGGAGTCTGTGCGCCTGGGAAGGACCTGGTGGCTGCTGAGTCACAGCTCTTTGGGCTGGGACAGGCTGGCTTTGGGAGAGCGGGGCTTGGGGTAGCCTGGAGCTGGGCAGGGACTCAAAGGCTCCTTTTCTCATGTCTCCCACCCGCCCTCAACACCGAAATGCTCACTGGTTATCTTGTCTAACATCATGTGCAGGCGGCAGCCGAAGGGGGCATAGAAACCCACGGTCACAGGGACTGGCACATGGCACAGGGTCTTGGCCAGGCAGCTGCAGTAGACATCATCCTCAGTCAGGATGTCTGAAGGGCAGGGTGGGGAAACTGAGTCAGTGAGGCTGGCTGGATGCCACCCTCCCTCCTCCCATCTGCCCTCCCCTGGCCCCACATCCAGCCCCGCCAGGCCTCAGCATCCTCTGCCTGACAGGTAGAGGTGACTCAGGTCACTATGGAGGATTCTTATCTCACACATGCGCCATGTGTGGCCAGGGAGGAGGCTGACCCGGGATCCCCTGGGCTGAGCGAAGCGGGCAGGCTGGCCATGCCACCCTTGGAGGTTGTGGGGTTCAGCTGGCCTAGGAAGCCTTCCTGCCTTCTCCCCCCCACAGCTCCCACTGTTCCAAATCACCACTCTGCTAGCCTGACCCCCAATATCCAGAGTCCTCCTGTCTCTCTTGTACTCCTTCCTGTCCTACCCTGGCTCCTTCCCGGCCTCTGCCCTGCTAGTAACAGGTGCATACTTTGACTTTCAATCTTAGCCCCCCCAACTTTCTCTGCAGGGGTACGGGAAGTGACCTCTGAGAGACCACGAGAGGACAGCAGGCCAGACAAGGGGACAGACCAGCCACATCATCAGTCCCTGGGTGTGGAATTGGGGTGAAGGAAAGTTAAGGCTCAGTCATGGGGGAGGGGGAGGGAGGGTTGTAACCCCCCACTTCCCGAAGCACCTAGAAGGAACCTGCTAGGAAGACGGAGGTCAGCTGAGGTGGCCTGGGTGGACCTAATCAATAGGTACGCTTCATCAATGATGGGTGACCTGGTCTTACTCAGCCTCTATTTTCCTGCGTGAAATAGACATCCTGGCCCCAGGGCTCCAGGAACAATGGTGCCTGATCTAGACCTGCGTCCCCATCCAGCATGTCACGCTACCGTCAAACCAGACCTTAAAACAACTCTGTCCCCACCTCCGCGCCACCACCCTGCCCAGGCCGCCAGCACCTCCTGCTCTACTCAGCCGCTGCCGGCTTGCCAGGCACCTGCCTGGGCCCCCTCTCTCTGTGTTACACCCCAAGTCAGCATACGTCTCTCCTTGGCTTGGGAGCCATCTAGAGGTCCTGCCATCTAGGGCTCCCCCGGAAGAAGCTACCTCGGGGTCTCGGCTGCCCCTGCCTCCCAATGGCCAGTCTCATGTACAGCTCTGCCGTCCCTACCTCTCCCTGTGCGGGTCACACCGTGTCACCTCTGTACACTGCCACTTACCTGGTGCCCACCCCCACCCCCAACACAGCTCCACGAAGACACGTGTGGCAGCTTCCCTGCCTGCCCCGCGCTGAGCGGACCCATGAATCCCTGCTCCTCCCGCAGCCAGCCCTGTACCCCCGTTCCTGTACCTCCATGTTTCACCCATCTCCCCCACCCCTGAGCAGGCCAAGAAGCTGCCCCCAGTCAGTGCTGCCACCCCCCTGCCCCAGTGCCTTCCCTTGGCCTCCTGGGTCAAGGGAGAGAGGGAGGGCAGCTGGGGACAGAGAAAGCAGAGCAGAGGGACAGGAAGGGGACACAGGCTCAGGCCTGGCCCGGAAGCCATGAGCCCAACGGGGGGGAGGCAGAGGTGACCACCTAGGACCCAGCCCCGCCCCCCCAAAAGGGACCAGAGTGCGGGAATGCAGACAGGCCCTAACCAGGCACCAGTCAGGGAGCAAGAGGCCCAGGCAAAGCGAGGCAGGAGCCCCCCAAAAAGCCTGGCTGGGCACCGGCGCCGTAGGTGAAGGAGCCGCAGGCTGCGGGCGCCGGCAGGGGCCGGGCTTCTGTGGGTTCGCTGGGCTCCAGGAGGGTGCCGGGTGCCAAGGGCTCTGTTGGGCCGCTGCTGGTCGTGCTGGGTGCTGCACTGGGTGACGTGGTGAGTTTGGGGGGCAGCTGGGGGGCGCTGACAGGTGTCGGGGGAGTGGTGGTGGCTGTGGGCAGCCCCTTCGGGGCCCCGTGCACTGGGCAGATGCGCTGCCGTAGGGGGCTGGGGGGCGGGGGCTGCTGCCGCCGCCGCTGCTGCTGCTGCTGCTGCTGCTGCTGCTGCAGAACCGGGGACAGGGGGCCCCGGTGCCAGCTGCTGCCCCCCCGGTGTCTGTGGTAGGCCTGCTGCCAGTGTGACTGGGGGGACGGCCGACAGGGCCCATGGGCTTGAGGCGCCGCAGGGTCCTGACGTGACCGGTGACAGCATCCTGGAAGGAAGGAAGTGGGGGTGACTGGGCCTGGGCCCCCCTGAGCCCTGGGGGTGGGCACTGGCACCAATCAGGCTGAGTGTGCAGGTGAAGGCTGTGTTGGAGGAGTATTTAGGGGCAAGTCAGGGACACCAGCAAGGAGGGTATGGCAGAGAAGGGGCCGTACCCCCTCCCAGCACGGGGGGGGGTCAGCCGGGTGAGGGTGGGAGAGGACACAGGCCCCACTCAAGACTTGTGCCGCCTGCCATCCTCATGTCCTGCCCTGCTTCCTTGGGAGGCTCTGGCTGGAGGCCAGGGGAACTGGCGGTGGCCACGGAGGCGGGGGGTAACCAGGGAGAGGGAGGGGGTGGGTTTTGCTCCTGGGTTCAGGCTGGGCTGCAAGGAGATGCTGGCCCTTGTGGTCAGGAGCCCGCAGGACTCCCGGGAGGCTGGACCAGGCTATGGCCCCTCCACATCCCGCATTCATTCCCCTCTCCCTCTCCCTGCGCTGTTCCCCAACATGGGGGCTGTCGCCCAAGCCTGGGGATTTGGAGCAAACCTCCCTGCTACTCTCCTAGAGCAGGCTCCCATGTTTGGCCCCCCGGACCCTGTCTGAGACCCACCCCCCAGAGATGGGCGGGCACCTGCATCTCCAGCTTCTTGGGAGCCTGGGCCCCGTTTAGGAAACAGACCCTGTCTCAAACACACACACACACACACACACACACACACACACACACACACATCCTCTATAGATGACTCTTGAGTCTGGGCCCAGCTTAGGAAACAGACCCTGTCTCAAACACACACACACACGCACACACACAGCCTCTACAGGTGACTTTTGACCCCTGAGCCAAAAGTTCTGCCTCTCCATCACCTACGATGCACCCTTAAGCTTCCCTCTCTCTGCCATCCTCTCCCCCAAAAAACTGAACCCTTACCTCTTTGATGCCCCGCTTCAGGATCCAAGAAGCAGCGTTCGGCAGAGGTCCGGGCGCCCTTGGTGAACTGGGCTGCGTAGTGCTTTTGCATGGTGGGCGGCGGTGTCCGGGGCCTGTGCCTAGGCCAGGGACACACAGGACAGTCTTAGCGCCCGGCCCCTGGGGGGCAGGAGTCGGGGGGGGCTAAGGGCTGAGTTCCTGCTTGCCTCAGGATGCCCTGTGTGGCCTTGCACAGGTGAGGGACCCCGTCCTGAGTCTCTGAGCCACCAGGATGGGTACCCAAGGGAATTGGTACCCAAGGGGAGACGGGCAACCACTGGGGTGTCGGGGTGACGCTGGGACTGAAGAGTATGGAGCAGATGCGCGCTGGGGAAATGGGAGTCCATGGGGGGGGCTGGGAAACACCAGGGAGGGTGAGCCCTGTACCCTCAAGGGCTGAACCCAGCAGGTAGAGGGACGGCAGATCTGGGGGAGCCTTGAAACATGGGCAGATTAGTTCACAGGGAGGCTCAGCAAAGGGGGGGGATGGGCTGGAAGAGAAGAGGATGGAAGCATGGCCGGGGTGAGGAAGGGAATTCTGTGGGCCTTCAGAGACAGATGAGGCTGGGGGGCGGGGGGGGTAGACTAGGGCTGGTGAGGGTTGGAGGCTGGGGTGGGGGCCCTGCCTGCCCCCTCCCCTGGCCCGGGGTCGGGCTACATACCTGGCGGCGGCCTCGCGGCCCCAGCTCCCTGCCTGTGGCCTTGAGCTGCCCGGCAAGCCCCACAACTATCAGCGCAGGCCCAGCAGGTGCCCGCGCCGCCCGCCCGCCCCGCCCGCCTGACCGGTTTGCCAGCCTGACCCCACCCCCCTTGGCAGCCGCCTGGCCTGGTGCTCTCTAGGACTGGCACCCCAACAGGGCACGCTGTACCCCGGGAGAGGGATGATGGAGACACAAAGCCAGCTAGGCCCCTAGCCCTTGGCTACCCGGCCGGCCCCTGGCGTCTGGACACTCTTGATGGAGGTCAAGGGGCCCGACAGGGGAGGATGGAGATGCACAGCTAAGGCTATGTGACCTTAGGCAAATGACTTCACCCCTCTGGGCCTCGGCTTCCTCATTGCTGAGTGGGCCAGGCGGGGGCCTGCCTCCCCAGGTTGTCAGGAGGGCCTTTAGCAGTGGCAGCCGCTGACCCAGTTTACCTGGGATGCTTGGAATATCACCCCAGCGACAGCACACGCGTGGAGCAGTCCCGGGGCCTGGTCACCCGGTGACCTGTGCCCTCAGCCCAGCCCACAGCTGCGGCCCTGCCCACCACACATGAGGAAACCGAGGCAGAGGTGGGAGACCGCTTGCCACACAGAGTGGAGACTTGAAGAGCTCTCCTGCCTCAGAGGGGGAGGCATTGACACCCCGTCCCCCCCACTGCTGTCCAGGGTCATCTGCCCACGGTGGCTGGCGTGTCAGGATACGATGTCCCTTCACCAGTGGCGTGGTCTGCCGGGCGAAGGAACTCGGTTTGGCCTGCCTTGGAGGTCTGGCCAGGGCTGAGCCCCGTCCCCCCCCAGCCCCCCCAGCCCCCGGGGGTGGCAGGGGTGGCAGCCCGGGTCTGGGATGTGTGCAGCGGGTCCCTGCGCCTGCCACTGCCCGGCGCTCAGGTTGAGGTGGTGGCTGGGTGGGCAGCGGTGGCGAGGGGGCTCTTGGAAGATGGGGAGTGGGGTTGGGAAGTGGGCATGAGGCGGGTGCCTGGCATGATCCCCAGGGAGGGGCTCCGGTGCCCTTCACCATGCCAAGGGCAGTACCGGGCTGGGTGACGGGCAGAGACGCTGGGAGAGGCTGGGGAGTGGGGTGCGGATGGAGAGGTTACGGGGGGGGGGTGGTCAGGACAGTACGCTCTACTTTTGATTCCACACAAAGAATCTTTATTGAGTGCCTGCCACCCAGCGTGACGCACCCAGGTCCCTCCGTAACAGCCCCGACTGCGTGGGCCCCCGGGACTCGAAACCACCAGCCCTAAGACCCCCACACACACCCTCCTGTGCAGCTTAGGGCTGGATGGCTGGGCTCAGACCGGACCATCTCCCGGGAGGTGGGGGGCTGGGCAGCCTGGGCTCATCAGGACTTGAGGATCACCACCTGGAACCTACCTGGAAGGGAGAGAAGGCTGCTTTACCTGGAGGTTAGGATTGGGGGGGGGGGCGCGGGCAGAGGGCACCCACCCAGCTCAGACTTCACCCCTGCCCTGCACTGGCAGCCTGGGTGGCTCAGGCCGCACACCTCAAGAGGATGATGGGTGAGTGGATCAAAGGGGAAGGGGGTGCTGCGCCCGCCCACCCCACACCTGGCCTGCACCTGGGCTGTGTGGGCGGCGGGGTGGGGCCAGCCAGGCCTCTGTGGCTCGGCTCTGTGCAGGCCCCGCCCACCAGACCCCACCAAGGGACCGGAAGTGGGGGAGCTTCTCACAGGCTGCCCTTGGCAGGAAGGGGACTCTGGCTGATCAGTTGGGGGGGGGCCTGTAGGACATTCACCAGGTGGGCCCCAACTTCCCACCCACCTACCCTGATACCAGCCACCCCAGGAGGTATTCCCCGCCTCTAGGTTCTGTGCTGGCGGAAATGTTGGGGAATTGCCACACAATTTATTCCCAGCCTGAGCTGGAGAAAAAAAAAGATCTCTGAGCTTCAACTGCTCCGTCTGTCCCTTGGGGCTTGGTCTCTGGGTTCCCCCCCTCTCCCAGTCCCCAGCACACTCATGGGACAAGGCCCCCCCCCCACCACTCACAGGCAGGCAGGGTGGTCACGGAGGCGGTGACCAGGCTCTGGACACCCAGGGTACGCAGCGTGCCACACAGAAGGCCGCAGGTGAACGCCAGGAACTGGGGTGGGGGCGGGGAGGACACAGACCACTGTGGGGAGGGGGAGAGGCCAGCACCCAGGTCCCCAGCCTGGGAGAGGCCTAACATGGGGTGGGGGAGGCAGACAGGGGATGGGAAGGGCACGCTCCCACCCCCATACCTTGGGTGCTTCCTCCAGGTACTGAAGGCCGGAGGCCATGGGCACCAGGAGAGGGAAGTTGTTGTCCTGCAGGATGTAAGTCCCCTGGAGGCAGAGGAGCGGCCATGGGGGTCCCATCCCCACCCACTCCTGCCTGCATGGTACCCCTATGTGGGGCTCAATCCTCAGAACTGCACGAGGGCCAGAGGCTGACTTGGGCTTGACTGACCCACCAAGGCAGCCTAGGCTGTCAATGGGAACAGGGACAAGGGGTCTGGGTCACGCCCCCACAGGCCACGCCCACGCCCCCACAGGCCACGCCCATCCCGGCCACGCCCCCCAGGGCTGTCACCAAGACCGTGCTGGTGCTCACTGTGCAGCCCTAGCTCCCCACAGGGAAGGAGGGGGAGCTGTCTTTGGAAGGGGAGGGGGGTGGTCCCACTCTTCCCAGCACCCCCAACCTGGTGGTTGGTGCGGAGCCCGTCCATCTGCTTTTGGAACACAGCTACCCACAGGTCCTTGCACAGGAACTTGAGGACATCCAGCTCCTCCTTGAAGGCCAGGGTCTCCCGGGGCAGCCTGGCGGAGGGGGGCAGGTGGGCCTCGCTGATGCTGGGGGGTGTGGGTTAGGGGCAGAGCCAGTGGAGGGGGGGCGGGGAGGGCGCTCACCTCTCACCCAGAGCCTGGCCCACACGGAAGCCGATGCCCTCCAGGACAGACAGGCTGGTCTTCTGTCCCTACAAGGCCGGGGGCGGGGGGGGGGGGGACTCAGGGGCCCCTGGCCACCTCTCCAGCAGCAGCCATTAGAGGAATGATAACCCTGGCCAGGGAGGCTGAGTTCTGGGGCTCAGCACCAAGCACCCCGTGGCACCCTGTGCAGAGAGGCTCTCCTCTTTGTCCCAGCAAGCCAGAGAATTTCTCTGTCCTCCAAGGGCTCATCTGCCAGGCCTCAGAGAGGTGACAGGCGCCCCAACAATGCCCACTGACAATGGGTTTGGATCCTGGGGCAGCTTATCTCGGGGCCCCGTGCCTCAGTTTCCCCACATGCAGTGGGGCTCACTACCTGCGGTGGCGGTGAGCTGTGGTCACTGCTATTGGGGGAACCATGGAGAGGGGCAGAGAACCATGGAAGAGGGGGAGCGCCTCCTCCCTGCCTCACCTCAGTCGCCTCACTACCCCTGGAAGCTCACAGAAAGAAAACCAGAACTTGCTGACAAGTCCTTGCAAAGCTCTTAGGGACGGGGGGGGGGGGCTGCCATGCTCCCAGAAAGTCCAAGGCAGGGACTCTCCCATTCCTGTGAATAGGCTAGAGCCTGGCTCGGAGTCAAAGGCTTTTCTGGGGTGTACCACACCTGTTTCCCAAGGGAAAGGAAAGGACATCATGGTGTGGAGGGGACCCCTTCAAGGACAGGAGGATCCAGGTGGGGGACAGTTCCCTAGTCACCTGGGCAACTGAGGTTTTCATTTTGCCTCTGACTGGTCAATCCTGTGTGGCCTCAGAAAAGACCCTTCTCCTCTTCCTAGCTCCAGCCCCGTCTTCATCAAAGGCAGGCAGGCATGATAGTACACGCCTGTAATCCCAACACTCAGGAGGTGGAGACAGGATTGCTGAATTCCAGGCCAGCCTGGGTTAGTTACATAGTCAGATCCTGTTACAACACAAACCCCAGGGCAATGATACCCATCTTGGAGGCTGGTTTTAAGGACGCAGATAAAACCTTTCTCCCTCAGGACCCCAGGATAAAAATCCAAGGAGGCTCAGGCCCTTCATAGGAATTAGTGTGTGCCCAGAACCTACAGAGTCTCTCACAGACTGGACATTTTCATTTTTGCAGTGCTGGGGTTGGAACCCAAGACCTTTTCACCTGCTAGGCAAACCCTCTAACCCAGAGCCAACACCCAGCCCTTCCACAGACTGTAAATCAGATCTAAATGATTATAATGCAAATGACTGGTGAGATTTCATATTCCATAGCATTTGCATAGCATCAAGTACTAAGACATTTACAAGATAAATTATATGTATATAGTTGTTATACTGTATTGTTTAGGAAATGACACGTTGCTCATTCATGCCTGTAATTCCAGCTACTTGGCAGGCAGAGATCCAGAGGCCAGCTAGG